ATCCTTTGCCAAGTTTCAGAGAAGCACTGATTGCTGTGACAGTGGATGTCTTCTCTACCCTGTCTTTCCACCTCTTGTGTGTGACCATAAAGCCAAGGCTTAATTAAGAGGCCTGGCTCTGTTTCTGCAGTGTTAAATGTGCAAATTAGAAGAACATGCCTGCACAATGCTAAAGCCATAATCAGGTGCTCAGATGGAACTGAACAAGAGCAGTGGTGCCTGTTTGCTCTGCATGTACAGTGGTGGTTTAACTCCCTATGGTTTAGGCACTTACTTCCCTTCCCTTCTTCAGTCCCGTCTCTCCTGTTTCTGCAATGAGGTGCCTGTGAGTGCTTGTGGACACACCTATCTTTTTTGAAATTTCACAGCTCCTTGGAGACACACTGATCTTAACCTTTTAGGTGATGTGTAGGCAAAGAACATGTCAATAGTTCTGTCCATAGGTTTTACAGCTTATATTTATTTGTATCATCTCTTTTGTCTAGGAATGTAAAAGTGGTCCTAAAATAAGATGTGTAATAAAATCAATCAGATTTATTGTATCTACAACAATGTGTCATTTTCTGTTCTTAAACGAGTTAGTAAATAATTGCTATGGGTTTAATGGGACCCATAGGATATTGTAAAACATTGTGCCCTATTTGTTTTTGAAGGAAAAGAATCAGGTGAAACAAGCATATTACAATTAAACAATGGAGTACAAACATGCTGTTGATGAAAGGTGTCAGACTACTAGCCCCAAGGAACTGACATATTGCTGGTATCAGTCATATACGATCTCTACCCTAGGGAGTCCACTTTCTGGATTCTATTAAAATAAAAGTGGTAGTGGAAAAGGTTAGGGTAAACCTCAGCATTCATTCTCATAATGCACCCCGTTATAAATGGCCTAGATTTAGAAGAAAAGTAAGGCTGGAATGAGATGCAATCCCTCATTCTTCTCACTAAAGGGAAATCAGGAGTACCACTACAGTAAAGATTGTAGGAAAAAAAGATGCCTGCCAACAAGCAATATGAAATAAGACAAGCCCTAAAGAGCAGTGACCTCTAGAGGACAGTAATTCAGCTGAGCGTAGATGGTAAAAGTAAGTGTGATGGAGAAGAAGTATAGTGAATACACTAGATCAAACCCTTCATTCCAGAAGAGCAACTAAGAGGCTCTAAGCAATTGCAGGAAATGTGGAGCTGGATTCAAGCATTTGCCTGCATAAGCACAAACAAGTGTGGTCCTAGTCACTTCATTAGAGGTTTGCAGCCTGACAACTTGTATGTGTGTGTACATACAATACATACGCACATACACGCACGTTTCTCTTTTTAGCTTTTTTTAATTACTCAAGAGAACTTGAGTCATCCTTATGTGCATAGAGCACCCTCCTGGATCAGAGTATATTTAGAATCCATTTAACAATATACTGTTAACATGTTGTAATTAAGATTTTTAATATTGTGATTTCAGCCAAATACTTAGAAAGGGTTCTCTTCCCTCCACATGCTTCTGCCTTACCATATGTATTTCTCAAATTGTGAGAGATGAAGAGCAGTCTTATAAGATTACAGGATACAGGCATCCCTGCTTAACACTATTTCGCTTAGCGCCGTTTCATTATAATGCTCGTTTAAAATTGATACCTGATTTCACTTAACACTCACTTTTTGCTGTAACGCTCGCGGTTGCCATCTTGGGTCATCAAATACTTTTTTTTCGCTTAATGTTAGTTTCCCTTAACGGTTGGTTTTCCAAGAACCAATTAAGAGTGCTAAGTGTGGGTTGCCTGTACTAAATATATGGTTGAAATAGTTCTCTAGAACAGTAAGGTTTGATTTTTAAACCTGTTTTATGTATTTTTTTCTCTATTACTTTATTGACTCCTGATGGAAGCTGTGATTTTCTCTGATTTGGAAAAAAAGACTTGGAAAAAGTGAGATGTTGGGGGGGGCGCACAGCTTGTTCTGTAAGATGAAATAATTTCAGTAACAAATGAGTATAAATATCAGTTAAGATTTACAAAGTTTACAAAAAAGGGCTTCTTAGCATCAAAGAAGTAAGGCTCTGAAAAAGCCTTCTAGAAGGACTACTGGAGGCAAATAACCCACCAAGTTTTAAGACAGAATTTGATAAGTTTATAAATAAAATTATATGACATAGTGCCTGCAATAGCAAGGATCTGCACTGGGTGAACCAGGAGTTCCTTCCCAATGCTGTGTTCCTGAAGTGTATACACTGTAAACATACTGAGTCTTCAAACATAAAGACACATCCAAAAAAAGTCAATAAAAACATGAAGGCATTTGTGCTCCGTACACTATTAAAGTTTATCATGCTTCTGTTTTTAATCCTAGCTACCAATACCCATTTCTCAACTTTTCCCCCCTTTTTAGCAACTGGCCTTTCATAAACCTTTACCAAAATAAACTGAAGCTCTACCGATCTGAACAGGCTGACCAGCAATGGAGGTCTTCAAAACAAAAGACAAATGAACAGAAAATAGTCAAATCACCAAATGAATCTGCCATATCTCCCATAGTGGAACCTAATACAAAATTCCAGTACTTTAATGCAAAACAGGGCCCCCAACCTCCTCACAAACACAGACTCGGGGAAGAAACCTGCAACTTAAATTTCAAATGGTGAAATAAAGGAATTGAAGGTTACAGTCACTCTGTCACCGTTTAGCTGATGACCTTTGCACTGGGGGATCATTCCACATTCAATAAATAAAGGAAATGGTCCAATAGTTTTATTAAATTTTGCCCTTGTATAGTTCCAGCTCTTTGTCTTAATTAGATCATGCCATGCACTGCTAAGCCTACAGCAAGAGTATCGTCCGCCAGTGTTTTTGTGAGTTTCTAAAACCATCTCCATCTGGTTTTGCAAATGTAAAGCTATCTGATGGCCCTGCTCTGCGTGCAACACACACAGCCTCCTCCCATTCATGACAAATGGTGTCTGCCTCTGGACCACTGCAAATCTGAACTTCCTGAGAGCTTGCAAGCAGGTTCCCTAGCTTGCTGGCTTTTGTAGGCAGGCTTTGCTCTCTGAGGAGCTCCTCAGCCAGTCCTCCCAAATGAAAGTCTTTCAGGCAAGCTAAGCAAGTGGAACAAAATCCCACTGTCCTGTCCCAGACACTGGGAGGGAAATCCTTTTGGCTCCAAGCACAGCATAGCTTGGCCCCTGCATGTGGTAGGCAGCTCAGTCCACCACTCGTTTTCTTCTCCTCTGCTTTCTCTTCTCCCTGCCCATCCAAATGCCCTGCAGTGGAACGCTCACAACAGGGCTGACTGGTCCCTCTTAAAGGCACCATTGCCATCGCTGACCTGAGTGTGCCTCTTCCTAGGCAGCAAACGTTTAAACCTGATCTGAACGGGAAACTGTGGAACAGGATATCAGCCCCAGATGGGCTTGGTTTCAACCAGAATGATGGAGTCTCATCTCATCACCTGGATGAGCTTCTGTGTTTCCTTTGTTCCCGTGGGTTGTTTGCCCCCAGCCCCTCCCTTCTGCCGGTGGTATACTCCTGTCTCCTTCTCACGGACCCCTCTGGGACCGTCCCTTCCCCGCATGTCATGAAGGGAGCTTCAACCCGCTGAACATTACGATCATGAAATATAATAGAGCAAAATTCATACAATACGATATAATACAATGTAACATAATGTAATATACGATACAATATCATGTAATGCGATCAGGGATCCTGGTTTTCTCTGATAAAAAAAAAAAATCCCCAATTTTCAGGTTAAAAAGTCACCCCAAATCCATATTTTTCTGCAATTAAAATGAAAGGGCAGCCAATACATAGATATATCACTCTATATCTATCAAAAGATAGATCTATAGCAATGATATGTATATGTATATAGATATATGATATATATATATATAGACATAGAATTATAGGTGTTTACATGTAAGATATAGTTATACCTATAGATATATCAATATAGCTATATCAATATATAGGTATATATCAATATAGAGATATCTCTAGATATATATATAGATCTATATCTATATATAGACAGATACATCTCTAGACATATAGATCTTTATATATAGATATAGATATCTAGAGAGATATATAGATAAATATATATACAGTGATGTTTCATTTTAATCAAGAAAAAAGCAGATTTGGGATTACTTTTTTTAACCTTAAAATTGGGGATTTTTTTAAACTAGAGAAAACCAGGACCCCTGAATATGATACAACATAATAGGATATAATACAAGATAACATACGGATACAATTCAGTACATTATACTATGTTATGATTCAATATAATACACAGCGTATGACACAATACAACACACTATGCACATATCTGCACATTACATTATGCAATTATAGATCTAGCCTATATTAAATTATGCATGGTGTGTGTGTGTGTGTGTGTGTACGTATATACACACACACACACACAGAGCATGCATAATTTAATATGATTATGCGTAATTTAATATTTATACACACATACAAACTACTGCCAATACCACTCCGCGCCGCCCCGACCGCCTCCCCCCACCCTGCAGCCGGACACGCCGAGGGGGCCGCTGGGAGGCGTCCGGGGGCCAGCTCCCGGCATGCAAGGCGGCGCGCGCGGGCGCTGCCGGGAGCTGTAGTCCCTAGGCGGACGCGGCGGCGCAGAGGCGCAGCGGGACTCGCGCTCCCAGCAGCCCCTGCGGCTTGTTTTCCTTCGAACGGGCCCGTGCGCCCCGCCCCCTCCCTCTGCCGGCGCAGCGCGGGGGCTGTCTTGTCCCGCCGCGGCCGCCGTCGCTAAGCCCCTCCTTCCGGCTGCGAGCCCTTTGACCCCGTT